AAATAGGGAATTAGGCTTCCAGTGATCCTCTTTTGTCTTCTACATCTTAAGGTGATTTGTCTGAACGGGAGCACATTGGGGCCAGGTACTTCAAGCATGAAAGGTGGAAATTGGATTTCTTATCTGGCTAATTCCCAATGTATGTTTTCAGTCATAAGTCGATTTTATCTGGAATTGAGACGCAAGAGGTGACAAGTGTAAATTGGCCTTTAAAGATTTAATAGATTAAAAGATTAATCAAATGGATCAAACAATTAGATTTTGAATACTTGGCCTTTTAATCATTTGGGTCTTATGACCTCAAATTTCTTCAAAATGGATTTTAAACCAAGTGTTTTTCCGGTGTCTGGCTGCTCACTCCCAGAGAAACTGTTGCCCCCCCAACTCAACTGTCAAAATATTTCATCCCCGGGCATTTGTGCTTTCCCTTCCTCGTTATCCATACTTAAGGTTCCTGCCGTGAGGTTATTTCTTTTCAGTGTTACTATTCTTGAATGACTTTGCCAAGATGTGTTTAAAAGTAAAGTTTTAATTCAAATTTGGTTGACTGAAAATATCTCAACCCCAAATATCTTCATCAATTTGTTCTTAAGAATGTTGACAGAGGTGATGCTTATTGGAAACAGCACGAGGTTATAACTCTTTACCTCGGAGTGTTTTGGTAGAATTTCCACTTTTCTTGTTCTTCTGAATCAACTTTTTCAGGGTAAGTGGGCTCATCACGGTCCAATAGCTTTATGAGTGTAAGTGCCTCTGTCATCTTTGGGTGTGTCTGGCTCACTTTTTTTGTTGTCATTCGGGGAGTAAATATGATGATAAATCCTTTCAACACTCTACACATCACTGTTATCACTGCGGCCTTTGACAGCTGCTCTTTGCTCGATGAAGCTGGGGAACGGGTATTGGAGGGGTAAAAACCTCTTAAATCATTGGAAATGGCTTTTACTGCCAGCTTGAAAATAATTTGACAATGCATTTTTTTCTTTATATCTTCACTTCGATATTCAAATTGGGAACACTTTTCAGCACGGAATGCAAAATAAATGTCGACCTTTAAGTCCGTATCCCTTTGAGCGGCGAATGTTTGCAAAGAGAGCAAATGTTTATTTATTTATTTATTTATTTTTTCATTCATGGTCACAAACATTTGCAAAGACGTTCGCCTGACATTCGCAAATAGTTTGAATTGATGCAAGCAGTCTTTTTCTGGTCACAGAGAAATTTTGAAGATGGTGAATGTCTTTGCCAATATTTGCGACCTTGAATGAACCTTGACGGGAAACCACATTCGGACCGTGCGCAAATCTTTACTGCACAGTGGGATACAGGCTTTAAATATTTGTGTTGCATTTTTGGATGTTTATTATGACTTCGTCCATAACAGCTTCTGAAATTGGGCAAGCACCATATTGTGATTGATTTCTAGAAAAGGGAATTTCATAGTAAATTCACGTTTTTAGACCCAGATCGCAGCCACCTCACTGGGCTTTTCTAGGAAGTCAGAAATTAATGAAATATTGTAACATACTACCATAAAACCTTTTTTATTTCTAATCTGGAATTATCACGTAGAAATAATTAAATGTATCACTTGCATATTTTTTTGCATAACTGTACATTTTGACAACATTAATAATTAGATATATGCACTATAAATATAATTGAGTTCGAAGTGCTTCTAAATAGAGTATTAACCATTTTTGAAAAAAAAAAAAAAAAAACAGATTTTGCAAATTACCAATGTTAATTTATGGCAGCTGTGAAAAAGACGTTACACCGGATGGTGGTGTTATAAATTGAATAAGCACTGTTTTTGTTGTTGCTGTTCTCATGATGGATCGCCAATGCGAGAAAGTCACATGATTACTTCGGCACAGTTTTGCGGCAGATGCCCTTCCTGACGCAACGATTGGTGACTGGATATTGGAGCTCTGGTTGAGATAATTTTATTGGGTATCGGGCATAGTAACAGAAGGGACACTGTCTTTTGTCTCGAAAGTATTTCCAGACACATAGGTAGAAATCTTGCACATAATGCACCCCGACCCCCCTACCAATTTCTGTGAGCACTTTAATAAACCACTGTATTGCAACTAGAGTAATGAATAAGCACATCGGACTCCGTTTAACGTTCAATATAGTTTTTGTGCTGACTCGTGGTCCCTGATTGCCCAATAAAACCTTGTTTCTCTACTGCCCAAGCTTTATATTGTCAGCTTGGGAAAAAACACAGCACTCCGTTGAGAAACAAAAAGCAAACAAACAAAAAAAAAACATTTTCTGCATTTTATACATCACCAGAAATGTCATGCTTTTGTCTGTTGTTGAATAATTCAAATCCTCCTTGATTTGACCTTGCATGCTTACGATTCTAAATGGGAGAGGAGGGTCTCTAATGAGGATCTAATGGGGCCAAATAATACCTCGCCGACCATGGTGAATTGATGCTTTTGGCCAGCAGCAGTGTACAAAATGTCACTGACAGGTGTGAACATTCACACATACATATTCACTGCAAAAGCTCTTCGTAGTAAGATGTGGGGTGATGGGGGGTGGGGGGGGGGCAATGTGAGCATTCCCTTAGTACTTTGTGGTTTGGTGATTTTGATTACTTTACTTTGGAGTCAGCCAATCCTCCATTCAGCATCTCCAGTTGGTCCAGAATGCTGCTACTCGCCTCTTGACTGGTACTTATAAGAACTCACATAACTCCTACTCTGGCATCCCTGTACATTTTAGAGTTCTTTTTAAGATCCTATTATTTGTTTTCAAATCTTTAAATGGCCTCGCTCCACCTTACCTCTCGATCCTTTTCCGTTGCTGGTCCCTCTCTTTGGAAAGACCTCCCACTGAACATTCGGCCAGCCCCTTCGCAACCCATCTTTAAAACTCGTCTCAAAACTCACTTATATTCTTTGACATTTGACTCGGCGTGACTCAGACTTGATCTTAGTTTTACTGTTTTGTGCTTTCTACTGTCTTCGTTATTAATATATTTTTTTTATTGTTGTATATATGATATTTGCTCCATGTACAGCACTTTGTATAAAGCAATGGTTGTTTTAATAGTGCTCTATAAATACAGTTGAGTTGAGTTAGTGTGGATTCACTCGCCCACAGATTGGAATCTATCACCCGTGAAAAGTGAGGGAACGCTATGATATTAATGTACTTTAATTTTTCCATTACCATGCCATACTCAAATTTATGAGTTGAACTTTAACTATACACCCTTAAAAAATCTAATTGGGGATTTTTTAACCCAGCAGTTTTAAAGGTGTGAACTGAGTATACAGAACAATTTAATGAATGTAATGAAAAGAACCTTCTGACCCGAAGGATGTTTGCGCACTGTAATTCAACATCACTTTTCGTGGCAAATTCAAACTCTAATAAAATAGAGCATTGTGGCCTGAAAGTAAACGTTCGCTTGACCGTATTATCGTGCTATATGTTTTTGAAAGACTATTAAGAAGATACACGTTGACGACCACCTTGTCTAACAATGGCAAAGATGCACTATAAGAATGATATGGTTTTTATTGAATTGAATTGACATCTCTCCGTTCCATTTAAAACACATTTGGGATCTGATGAACACAAGAGTATCTTCTGAATGACTAGAGTTAAAGTATTATAAGATTAATCGAATACTGTATTTGTGACAATATCGTATTAAACCGCAAGCCTTGGTTGCAGAGCAAATTGGATATATAGTTCTCTTTAGAATAATAGTGTGTTTACTCGAGTGTAAAAAGTACACAAATCCTCATTGTAACTTTTATCTCTGGAAACGCAAAGGCATTTGCAACACTGCATATTCTATTCCAAATCAAAGCACAGCAAGACATTCCTTCCCGAAAGGGGACAAAGTGAAATAGCGGCCTGTTCAAAAATACGATGTGCATTTTTCTTTACAAATGAAAACATTTACGTAAACAGAAAATGCTTTTCTGTGAGTCACTGTACTTGCAACTAACTTTGTCCTTTTGTTTCTGAGAGCTGCTTCACAGCTGTGTTGCATGGAGTCAGCTAAATCGTGGCATAACTGGTAGTACAAATCAGGATATATATATATATATATATATATATATATATATATTACACCCCTCCGAGATCTGATGTTTGAAAGGAATACTCCATAGATTATAGATGCTCCATTGAGGTCAGGGGTCAAGGGATTTTTTTTCTCTCGTAATACCAATAATGACCGCTGCTTTTATGGGATTTTTTTTTTTCATTCTGGCAGGGTTGTTCCATCCAGAAAATGGTGAGTTCAAAGTATCACACATTTTGCTGAGGTCATCCTGACACTTTCAGGCACCCTAAAGGGCCCATTATTTCAGATCAAAAACGCTGCGCCAACTCCTCACTGATGTTGCAACGTTGGGGACACGGTAGCCACCCACTAACTGCCCAGAATTCCATCTCCATCTGTACAAGTATGCCATTCGGCGGTGAATAAAACCACATGAAAATGTTCATGTACCTTGTGATGTTAGGGGTGACCAAATGCAGCTTTATGCATGACTGCAGGATTTTGTAAGATCTTACAACGAGAAGTTCTTGGGGCTCCAGAGACACCAGCCACTTCCAATACCTGTTTGCAGCTGACAAGCGAGGTTTTAACAGCTGCTCTCTTAATAAGATGCATTTGCCCGACAGAAACCTTCCATCATATGCCTTTATCAGAACAAACGCGTTTGCCCTCTGAGTCACACAACAAATTATTTATCAGTACAGTATAAGGATGATTTATTTATTTTTTTTAGATGTCTAGTGTTTTCATTCCCTCTGCAAGGCATTAGTCTATCCTGAACTTTTCATCAGCAGAGAGATGTTTCTTTTGTACATTTTATGCGTGACTGTGACTTGCTTAATAAGGTGAAACAAGTACTTTAAGTAATTTCCCCTCAATTAAGCTCACTTGGGAATCTAATGATCAAACTTGTCCCGAATTGCGATTAGTGATTGAAACATAAAGAAGGACAGCATTTGCAGAAAGTTCCTCAGAACCTAAAACGAGATTGTTTTTATTTAACATGAGTCATATATTCTCTCCTCATTGTAGAATGGAAACCTCCGTTGTGCATATACAATATAGTAAATTGCCATTTTTCTTTCACAAATCGATACCATTGGTCAATCTCTAGTTTTTACAAATTATCTAAAGTGTTGAAAATGGCTTACAGTTTAGCGATGCAACATGACTGGCTCAACATGCCCTTTTTTTCTTTTTTAAACCTTTATTAAACTTTGTTGGTCAGTTGAGTACCATTTCTGATTCACAATGACGACCCGGACGTTTTTTCATGGTTTTGGAGATGCAAGGTTCGTACCCGATGTGTAATAAAATATGTTGGAACACAGTGTACTTGCAAAGAAATAACACATATTGTACATTTTTCTTCATTTTATGTGTAGTTTTCCCAGTGCATTTGCATTTCAAAATAACAGCAACTGTAAGGATGGATGGTTCACTCGCTTTTTGAAAAACACATAGCTATTACTCCCAATATAATTATACCACAAAATGATAATTATTTTCAAATTGGTTACACACTGCACGATTCATTTGCTGCTTTTTGAACAACACTCACGTACTCGGTTAACAATATAGCCCACCTGCTTTCTCTTTTGAAAAGGGTACAGCAAATGTCTTTCTTGAATACATAATCTTCTCTTGAGGTTACATAATTTGTTTCAGTCCCATCTATGAAAAACATCGCAAACAAAGAATAAAAGATTTGCAAATGAAAGGAGAACAAAACACATTTTAGCAGAACATGTCGAAATATCCGATAGATTTTCTCTGTTGGCAGAAGAGATCACATTTCACATCGTGACATTCTGTTCTTCGTGTGTTAACATGCACACTATTTATTATAATATAATGTAACCAGATTAAGGAAAATGACCATAGTATTTACCTTCATTGACCATTAAAACATTACAATTGTAACACTTTTCATTACTGAATAGACACAGTGTTTCAAAGTCACAGTAAAACATTGAGCTTGTTATCTGTTCGAAAGTTAATACAAATTACAATTAAACAAATGCACATGATGGGCACAGTTGTGAGTGAGATGTCCCTGTTAAAAGCATGAAATTAAGGTGTGGGTTTCCTCAAATACACACATAACATGATGACAGGATGACAGACTTAACACATTCTTTAAAATGTCATGGCCTTAATTTCAAAATAAGAATACACAAATGCAATATACTTTTTTTCGCTCCCATGAAATAATACATCTATATTATTACAACGTGTTGTGATGGGTCAGGAGGCATATCTAAGCATACAGCAATGGGTTTTAATAGGTATATTGTGCTCTATAAATCTGAATGAGAGCTATTTTTGCTTAGTTTGTGCTGAGAGAAGTTCTTTCCTCTATCATTCATAACATTTTGCCTGAAAGTAATCAGACTGTTTTCGACGGAAGTGTTGGCAATGTGGAATAAACATTTTGGACTGATAAATACAAAAAAATGGCATAACTCCCCCCCTCCATTATGCATCGGGGTACAGTATTAACTTGCACATGTGCAAGCAAAAAAGAAGAAAAAAAAAAACCCCGGCCTGAATTATACCGATGCGTTAGAAAGTTAAGTAAAGGCCGTATCCAAAAACCGTATTTACCAGTTAAAAATGTTGACCCCACACTGGCAGTTCCACACTTCCGTATTATTCTTAATTTGGTTAATTTGTGTGGAGGCTTGTATCACTTATGTTTATTATTATTGTCAACCACCGTAATTTGGTTACATTCAGGCATCCAATATATGTGCATGTTAACATACTACAATATTGCCAGTACAATGTTTGGAGTTACACAATGATTTCTTTTAAAGGCTTTTTCTAAAAAAAAAAAAAAAAAAAAAAAAAAACACAGAGTCAAGTTGCTTTTGCAACTGTGTAATTGCTATCACTTAAGTACACATCTGAAGCAAAGATAGTGTGTATCACAACTGGAGTTCATAAGTCTATAGTACTTCTATGGTTCACATGATTTTCATGTTGAATTGTATGGGTGTCTCAGGTGGACTAGCCTCTTCGGTTTCTTCTTTGCGTGGCACATATTCAACCTCTATACTTGGCTCTGTGTTGTCTTTCCCTCTGCTCCAGAGGAACAGGATTACGAGACAGAAGAGTACAACGCCAAGGAATGAGATGAACCCCATTGTGGTTGCAATGATTAGGGTCTTTACATCAAACGGAAACGGAATTGTGGTCCGGGTCACATTCGCACTTTCGTCGCTGGGTTGGTTGAAAATGAAGGCAAACGTCTTGTTTGGCTGATGAGGCCAATTAGGAGAGTAGCTGTGTACAAAAAGATGAGCGACTTTCGTGTCGTTGCCTGCTGCATTGCTTGCGATACACAAGTAGGTCCCGTTGTCTTGGATTTGGGCATATCGAACCTCGAGTCTGCCGTCATCAGACACGGAAAGTCTTGATCCCACAGTTTTGGTGGTGATGTATTCTTTCTTAGGAGACAGCCACATGACGACAGGGACTGGCTCACCCTCAGCTTGGCAAGTAAAACTGACAGTAGTACCTTCATCCACATGGCTCTCTTGAACCTTGTCATCCACAATCTTGGATGTCTGGCAGGTGAAATAATCAGGAGGTAGGATATCTGGGAAGTCCTTGAATTCCTTTCCTTGCACCACACCGGGTGATGCACAGATGGGCTGCTGTCTATTAAAGTTTAACCTCCACCGCCGACGGAAAACCCAAAGCAGGCGACAGTCGCAGGCCAAAGGGTTGTCATGCAAAGCCAGGGTTTCCAAATTGCCCACTGAGTGGAAGACAGACTCCTCCAGGGTGCTCAATCTATTACTAGAAACATTGAGAATGTGCAGATGATTTAGTCCTCGGAAAGAGTAAGGCTCAATGACAATTAATCTGCCACCAGCCAAATGAAAAGCCTGGAGCTTTTGTAGATTGTGAAATTGGTTCCCTTCAACAGTAAGAATGGGATTGAAAGACAAATTCAGAAAGCGCAAATATCGTAGGTGACTGATAGCTTGGTAAGGAATGGCAGAAAGATTACAATTTGTGATTGCTAAAGATGTCAGGTTGACTCCAAACAAGCATTTTGGGGTCATGGTATCCAGGGAAGACATCTCTGATATTTCTAGTACTCGCAGTCTATACAGCCGCTTAAATGAGTAATCCCTAATGGCAGTGATGTTCAGATACCGTAATCGAAGTGACAGCAGGTTGTGCAGATGGCTCAGGGCATCAGTGGGCACTGAGGACAGCTTATAACCCTCAATGTTGAGGGTTTCAAGATTGCTGAGGCCATGAAACGATCGTGGCGAGATGAAAACGAGGTCATTGTCACCGACTTCCAGTACCCTCAAGTTGTAGAGCTCCTGGAACATGTAGTCCAGCAGAATGACAATTTTGTTCTCACTAATATCCAGCTGGGTAAGGTTATTGAGGCCTGTGAACACCCCAAGCTGGATGAGCTTCAGCTGGTTGTTGCGCAACCCGAGATGCCGTAGATTCACGAGATTGCTGAAAGCCCCGGACTCAATGGACGAGATGATGTTTTCATTCAGCTGGAGCTCCTCTAGCTGCGGGTAGTTGATAAATTCCTCTGGCCCGAGAAGTTTTAGACGATTCTTGCTCAGATCAAGGAGCTTTGTTTCAGTGGGGATGCCTTCGGGGAAAGTAGACAATCGTCTTCGATGGCACACGACTGACCGCTCTTGGGCATTGCAGTCACATCGGGAAGGGCAGCCGGTGGTTGAGCCAGAGAGGACGGTTCCCAGCATCAGGACTAGGATGGGCTGCCAGCACGCCACGAGGTAGCTGTGCCCCCCTGCCTCAGCAGAGACCATCCTACTGCGAACCTACGGAAATAAAAATAAAAAGTAAGGGCTGAGGGGTGGACAAGGATAGAAATCAACTCAGAATTAATGAGGCGCATTTGTCGGGTCCTCAGCATTCGAAAAGGTTCTGTTTCATGTTCGCTCTAAGCTGCGCACGTGTGCAATTGCGCACCACTCTCTCCCTCACAGCGCACAGCAAATGTATACGCCACATTAAAAACGAAAATGAAACCCGAGTGACTGATGTGCGCAACGTGTTGTGTCATGCTTGCCACATAAGAATCATGTTTCCCGCTGAAGATATGCATTTAACATTCATTTGACCTTGTCTTGGGTTCTACGTGGCGTCTTTCGTGTACCTTACAAACGTAACAATATTTCAGAGCTTGGTCTCTCTTAATTATGGCTATGCTGTCATGGCTTGTTTATTATCATAGTGACAAGTACAGCCATGTGCTCGTTACGCCTGTTTTTTGGGGATTTAAAAAAAACAAAAGCTGGGTCAGATTGCTCAAACAGGTTGAAAATTAAGAAATATAGTTACCGTACAATTGCAATGTGTTTAACAGCATGTCAACTAGAGACGTGGAGTTGTGGAGCGTTCACGCTGTTCACTCATCGCTCGCCAATCTATTCATAACAGCCTGGAGAAAAGTACCCCGATGCTTGAGGGAGAATATCTCTGCACGATTAAAGCGCATTATTTCAATGTACAACTAAAGTGTCCATGGCCAACGTGTTGTACAATTTATATCTTCAGCGCCAAGCTGCCTTGCATCATAAAAGCACATGCACACTTTTGGCTGGCTCAGTCCAGGGCTGTAGCTCGTCATTTGGATAAACATAAACAGAGCCCCCTCACCCTCTGTACCTTTCCTCTTTTTTGACAAAATGTGAGTTATGTATCCTACTTTTGAATTCGGTGGCAATGCAAATCTGACAGTTTAAGTTAGTCGACAAATATTTACCACCAGAATATTAATGGTGAGCATGTTCTAAAGAGTGTGAATTTGAGCAAATTCTCACACTTACTGAGCGAGGTGGAGGAATTGAGGAATGTTTTCTAACAAGTGAAGCATCTCAACACTTTTTCCACAGTATTTATATAAAACATTATTCAACATTCAAAACAGTTTAGTCCCTTTTCAACCATTTTTATACTCACATATTTTTGATGAAAAGTGTTAATCATGTCACTCTTCACTTCTTCTGTTTTTTTTTGTATTATAACATAGCAAATACTGAAGCCATCATTTATTTAAAATTAAGATTATGGTAGTACAAAATTCTTACATCATCAATCAGGGTCAATTAACAGCATAAAAAATGCCATAACATCCTTAATCCTGAACCAATTCTTCCAAACTCTAGCTCATTTTATTTGTGATACATAGCCTCTGTTTTGATATTTTTATTTTTTTTTAATGTTTTATAATATACTGTACCTACATCACGAACGGTAACTTATTATGATCTCGGGTTTTCAGGCGTGAAAGTGGTGTAACGCTGATGCTGTTCATCAAAAAGTGGCCACCCCGAGCTCTGCCCCAGTTGTCATGGTAATCAAAGCTGGTCTCCCATTGGCACCCCCCGCCTACAGCCAGCCCCTTCTGATAAATTAAATACAAACAGCCCCCAAAACGAAGTAATTTCTGAGGATTTGTGAGGGTGTTAAAATCAGACATGGAATGTGCCATAATTCTTGATCCTTAGTCTATTTTGACTGAATCATATCACAGACCTTTTATTAAGACACTTGGGAACTGCTTTAAATAAGATTCCGAAATGGGAGGAATATATTATAAGAGAGTTCTGCCAAAATCTAAAATCATGAGTACAGGGCTGTGAGAATTGCAGTTTTCACTTTGAGCCATCTCAGTTTAGTTCACAGGAGCCACTTCACCCTCAGGCTGTTTTTTTTCGTCACTGTTGCACCTGTGCGACACCATTTTAAGGCATCGAATTAGGAATAGAAGAGCATTATGTGAAGCAAATCTATCTGGAAATGGCAAACAAGTGAAACTGATATTTTAATACCAACAATGAAAATGTGAATCATAGGCATAGGCCATGATTTGCTCAACTTCCGTGTAAAAAAACACATTCTGTGAGCGTACTGCACTGTACATATGCGGTGATGTTAAAAGCCCTTTTAGAGATCAAACTTCATCATAGGAAGGGCGAGAAAGATTCCGCCATTGAACAAAGATAAATTATCCCTCATCACGGTACAGGGAGCAGCTTCAATTTGTCTAAAATGTTACAAGAGAATAAAAGCTGCCTCTTGATTTTATATGCGCACAACACAAACATTTCATGTGTATGGGGCACTGTTAAACCTGTCACAATATACAGGCAAACAAATTAAAAACAAATGCCAGTTGAACGTCTCCTCTAACGACTTTACTTAAATAAGCAACAAAAATGATTCCACGCAGTGAGTGCTTATTGTTAATTAATAAGGCGTTAGAGGAAAACATAATATCATAGAGCCATTGTGCGCATAAAGCCAGTGACATGTTTGTCTTGTCGGCACGTTATGATTTTATTGTGCCAAGACAAAAATATGAATGAGCATGACAAGCCCCCACTGCCTCTGCTAATCCAAAGCAAATGAATGCAAATGCCGTAGTGATTTTCTACCAGAGCACATGCATGATTTATGATGCAGAATGTTGCAAGGAATGAGGAGCGATCTGTGTTATCTGACCTTACAGCACATATCTCCCAATGACACCACTTTCTTTTGACCTTGAGCGGCACCTTCCTAAAAAGAAATAACACCTCACAAATACGTCCGAGCTCTTTATAAGTGGTTGTCACATGTTAATGTGACTCTTTAAAGTATTGCTTTTTGTTTTATACCTTGTGAGAGAAAATCAATGTTCGCTCTCATTATCACCCTCATACATCAGTATGTATTTCCTCTTTCTTTGAAATAGGTGTAATGGGCACGGGCATCAGCCAGTTTTTTTCCATACTGTCACTGTTTCCATCAGTCTCTGAAGTTGTCTTCCGGGTTGACTACTACTGATTTCCGATATTGCCACAATCTCTACATCGTCCCTGTTCTCTCAATGCCGGAGTAACATTGTAAATTTTGCTCAGGTCTGCAGTCAACACTGAAAAGAAGGGTGTGTTGAAATTACTCAATTTTGTTTTGTCAAGCGTTTGCACACAACGGAATAATCTGGATATAGATACATTTATTTATTTTTTTAAATGTTGATGTGTAGTCTCCTTAAAAAAAATATCTGGAGCCAGATGATTTTACTTGATGAAATAAAATTGAGTAAATTCAATACACCATTTTTCCCCAGGTTTCCAAATGAAGTCAGCATTAATTAACCTTTTAGGTATTTAGTCACTGTTTATGTGGTATGTTCCTCTACAGTTATGGTTTTAAGCAATAATCAGAAGAGGCAGACAATGTAATCCGAATAATAAAAATGTTATACTTCAAGCAATGGAATTGCTGTATCTGATTTTAATGTCTACAATGAAGCCATTTATGATGACTGATCGACTATGTGGCTCAACCTTAAAGTGATATCCACAGTGGTGCCTTGAGATATTTGTTTGTTTTGTTTGTTTGTTTGTTTTATTGAACATATATAAAACATACAATAACATGACAAAATGCAAACAAAAATTATGAAAGGAAAATAAAAGTAAAAGTAAGTAATACAAACATCATCACAGTTATATGTTCAAAGGAGTAGGAAGAAGTATACCACTTATCTAGTCCTACCCCTTTTTGAGCAATAATGTATATTGATCATTTCCAATACCAAAGAAAAAGAAGAAATCTAAATTTCATCAAATACTTTTACCCTTTTGTGTACTATGCTTATCTATTGATACACCTTTCGGTTTGTATATATGTATCATTATTCTTTCTACTTTTTATATCAAATGACTCATATTCATTATATATACCACATTTCTTGAATACATTCAATAAGTTGTTCATATGAATCTCATTTGTTGCGTGACCACACTGTTAACTGAATACATTCGTGTCTCAAATCATCTTTCTCCACTGAAATGAATGCAAATGCCATTAATTCATTTGAGTCTTCCAAAATCCATCCATCCATCCATGTTCTAATCCGCTTACATTACGGGGGTGCTGGAGCCTCTCCCAGATGCCTTCGGGCAGTAGGCGTGGGACACCCTGAACTAATTGCCAGCAAATTGCAGGGCACCCACCAACCTTACTCAAAATACATAAATCCAACAAATATTTTGGTATTGTGTTTTTAACAATAGAAATAGCACGCTACAAACATTGGTTTATAAAAACATACAGTGATGGTGTAAAAAATTAAACAGATTTAGCCGCATTTTTTGATTCCGTTCAATGGATATTGTGCCGCTCCTTCTGGTGTATGTGCCTTGGCCAGTGTAATGCAGCCATACAGATGTACAGTGCATGGAGACATCACAACTAAGGTCAGGAAGCCACAGGAATATCAGGAGCTCTTTGCAGGCAGAGTCTGCCTCAGAGTTCCAGGGTTTGATTCAGGGCTCCGACCTTCCTGTGTGCACGTTGCACGTTCACCCCGTGCCTGTGTGGGTTTTCTCCCACATTCCGAAAAACATGCTTGGGAGGTAGCCACATTTCAGAGAAAACCCACTCAGGCACAGGGAGAACATGCAAACTCCACACAGGAAGGCCATAGCTGGAATTGAATTTCTCTTTGTTTTGCAAAAGTTACTCATCAGACAACCTTATTGACATTGATAGAAAGCACGAGGACATTGTTAGTGGTTGCCCTGTGGTTTATTTGCCTCCAAGTGAATGATGGTCAGACAATGTAGAAAATAGTCAACTTTGAGAAGGTAATAGAATACATCAGATTTGGTGTTAACAGTGATTAATGGTATGAAGAATCCAGTAGGCAGATTTAATTAGTTATTGGCCCAGTCAACATTTGGGAATATGGAAATACATCACAGTAATTATTAATCATTCAATTTTGTTTCCACCGACGGAAACTAGGGCAGTAGTGCCACACTTACAGAATTGCTGTATATAACAGCCACACACAGGGCTGTAGGCAGGAAACAACAGGAAATCAGATCATATTGTATGATCAGTTAAGTTGTGAAATATTGCGATTATACGGCAAAAATATCCATAGGTTTGACACATGGTTATACATTCATATTTGTTGAAAAGAAGGTTGGCACAGAGTACCAGGAATTTCATTCTTTGAATGCATTCATTGAACCCACATTTGTGTATCCACTGTCAGATCTCCCTTCACGGTCAACTCGTCATATCAACACTGCACACAGAATGGGTGCCGTTTTCGGAGACAGTGCATTTGCGCTCAGTGGCTATGTGGGCGGGTCACACACTGACACAAACGATCAGGGTGGAAGCTCCAAATGTATAGTTAACAGCGGTGATCTGCGATCAAGCTCGCCAACTTAACTTTATTACTCAAGTGTAAGTCTGCTTGCAGTTCCTCCAAAATGTACTTTAAACGCTTGGATCTTATGCTCCAGCGAATCTATTTCCACTTCCGCAATGTCAAAGACTTTGCGCGCCTGAATTTCAAACGAATGAGTGAAGCCACTTTTATTCGTTAGAACGTGTTCATTCCCACAACGGCGCAACCACCTGTTTACTAAAATACCAAAAGAAAGAAACTCCCATCCATGCGCACAGTTAGACTGTATTTAGTACTGGAATTGCGCTTGGCACCAAAATAGGGCCCAGTGGGCCTGGCAGTCACTGCATCAGTCACTTTTACCTTTCAGGATGGCTAATGTTACTGTATTATTAGAATGCAATCCAGGATGCTCTCCTTTTTGGACCGAGGGGTGATATAAGGACGGTAAGTGAGGTACTTTAAAATGTATTAGTTCATAAATTAATGGGTAATTGCATTCAATGTTACATGTGTTCCATAGGGGTCTGGAGGATTTCTCCAAAGAGACTCAATAAGAAATGCGCTGTAAGTAGCAATGGCAAAGATGCCAAAGACACCACACAATATTCAGGTGTGATTATTCAAAGCGGTCAGAAAATGAAAAGACATCTCTGTGTGCAATTTGAGGGTGATTCTACACCTCCAGTGCATTCTTTGAAAAATAATTAAAAATGCATAAATCAGATGGGAATGCTACTTATTCTCCATTTGTAGTTTTCACTAAGGGCCCAGGAGAATCTGTGAAGAACATGGCAGTAAGCTGTCTCTAATTATACAAATTTGATCCTAGTAAAACAAACACAACTATTGTTCAGAATCCTTTAGACTGCTACATTACACTTTAACAAGCATCGTGAAAACAATTGTGTTCAATGATTCTGGAAATGTTTGTTTTTCCAATCCTGTAGTTCTTTAGTGTATTCTTTACAGAGAGTCAGAATTGAATCAGTGGCTCTAACCAAATAAATTCAAATGCAATGCATGTTGAAATTCATAGGATGCAAAGGTCTATGCCCATCATAAATACTCTATACACTAGGGGTGTACTTCTCACAGTGTATTGGTCAGTGGCAATGTGGATGTTATGTTGTTGTGCACGATAGTAGTCATATGGCATAAGCTTTTCAATTATGATTAGCACATTTGCCACACAGTGCAGAGGTCGTGGGTTCAAATCAGGGTGCCAGCCTTCTTGTGTGGATTTTGCATCTTCTCCCCGTGCCTGTGTGGGTTTTCTCCGGGTACACCGGTTTCCTCCCGCATTCCAAAAACATGCATGGCAGGTTGATTCGAGTCTCTAAATTGTTCGTTGGTGTGAATGTGAGGGCGAATGGCTGTTTGTCTATTTGTACCCTGCGGTTCGCTGGCGACCCACTCGGGGTGTTCCCAAAGACTGGGATAGGCTCGAGCACGCCCACGACCCAAGTGAGGAGAAGAAATTTAAATTGTGAAGTTTGAAATGTCAATCCATTCACTATAAAGAAAATGAATCAAATAGTGACACTAAACCTAATTTTAACACTTTAAACATTTACAATTAAATGTTATTCACCAGAAATGTTGTCATAGCTTATCTTAAAATTATTACAGAGTTGTGTTCTCACTCAAACATAGCAAAATGCTCACGCGATACACTTAAGGGTTTTATGTTATCTTTTTTTTTTTTTTTAAATCTATTTTTACCAATAAGGGAATAATGAACTTTATTAGTCGGGGAAGACTCAGGATCGATTTGACATGGTAATACCAAGTAGGAGAAGCTGATTAAAACAAGGATAACTGAATCTGAAATCACAATGAGCAGCAGATGTGTAACTTGTGACCAGCATATATCATTTCCATAGGAATTATTCAAACCAGTTTTCACAATTAACAACATGGCAAGGAATTAGCTTGGACAAGAGCAGAGCAGACATTTGACTCCAAGACTGCCAGGTCTGCATGGGTTGATTATGCAATGTTAAAAGAGGGAAAGTAACTGCCTCCTTGCTGGAGTGTGGCAGCCACAGTTATGCTTATGCAAATATAATGTGCAGTAGGATTTAACATTTGAGAGATCATCCATTTGGCCTGCATAAATCATCAAAGTCTATCCCCCTTCCCCGAAGCCAAAGCTCACCACCTCCATCGCCACCCATTCATATGACCTGTGGCAAATCAGCCAACAGCAAAAGGTAGCACTGAATAAATTAAGTGTGATTCTGGCAGAGCTTACTGGCATTTGAAGGAACACGAATGTTAATGAGATGGAAGCTTCGTAAGCATCAACAACCACCCCGGTACAACAGAAAAACAGGCAGTGTTCAGACTTACACATTCATCGGTGAGTATCAATACAGTATACTGGAGGTATCCCTGTATGCACATATACTACTTAATTATTTGGCAACCTATATTCAGACCACACAAGCGCGTGTTGTGCATGTTGCATACAGAACAAAACAAATGAAATCCATTTGGATGACAAAGCACAAATGAGACATGAAACCCTCCTCAGTGGACCATCCGCCTCCCTCCCTCCATCTCTGCCGCTACCTACTAATTTTATTCCTGAGATCAATTTGCTCACCGGCTATCACATGGCACCACCACTGCACCATATTAAATCTGATCCAATAGCTCAGTGCTCGAAGCCCACCACAGAGACAGAGTACTTACCAGGACTGTCATGCAGAGAATTCTAATTCAAGCAGCTCCATGTTGCCAAGGAAATTCAAAATGCCTCCAAAAGCATGGAGACAGAGATGCAGCAAACAAGACGGGCTCAGATCAAAAAGCTCAAGGTGGATGCACTGTACGGAGCAATGAGATTCCCTTGTCAGTTGGGGCATCCGCAAAATGCCTTCGTCCTCTACAGATGCGCTAAATCCAGCAGCACTGATAGGCTGATAAGTAAACACACAGGCAGTTCTGCTGCCTCGCTCACGCTCGCATACATGCTGCACCTAACAGAGACCGAAAGGAGGAGGGAGGGCTGGCGGACGAGAGAGGTGGAAGGAGGAGCTGCAGTGCCCTGGAAGAATGAGAGGACACATGAAGGGAGTTGAAAAGAAACAGGGAGAACTGTCCTCTCATTGCCCTGGCAGCGCCATCATCTGATTGGCTGATCTAGTGGTCTTTTTTTTCCATGAGGGATTTTTTTTTGCTACAGTAAACTGTAATGCAATTTGTTTCTGGAGAGAGAAAGTCACGTCGGTAGTGAGAGAGGCGTAAGTATACAGCGGCCGGATGAAGATAAGAAGGTGACGGATTGTGGAAGCTAAAATGACATTTTGTCATTGGAGCATAAACGGCCGGTTTAACTCAATAAATGGCACGTTTGTCGATGACAGGGAACTTGGAAGGATTGTACAGTGCAGATAGGGATGGACAAAGGCTTTGTTTATTGTCCCACTTGTGGATGGGTTCCATTTAAAGTGATTATCGTTATCAGTGAAAACCTCCTTTATTTTGAGTGCAGTGGAAGGTGTTAGATGTAGAAGCTTAACAGGACTAATTGCTGTTGCAGGAGCACAAAAGCTCCCAGTGCTGAGGAGGCTCCATCAGGGAGTTTTTTTTTTTTTTTTTTTTTTTTTTTTTTATATAGGATACTAGGTGGCAGAGGATTTAGGGAAGTGGACATAAGAAGCTCCATGCCTCTGAATGAGTAATGTGACACTTAACAGAAAGTAGAGGATTTTATTGTTGAATGTTGTCAATTGCATTGTATACTGTAAATTTAAAATACAACAAAATGAAAATCCAAAGATATGATGCTAAGGAACTATGCTTGTGTTTGCTTGGAATACAAACCTAATTCTGATGAAGGTGCGTACATTGTGTTAGACACATATAAATAAATACAATAAAATATTGCAATGATGGCAAAACATTTTATTGAATTTATTTTACTTTGCTCACGATAAGTTCCTTCCTATTACATTGGTCATGAATACTTAGGGTGAAATACAAAATAATAATAATCCCTATGGCATTTAGTGATGATAATAATACAAATAATAATACTAATAATATTAATGGTCCCAATCCAACTTTATGTTATCTGCCCATTGAGGTATGCTTGCAGTTTCTTATAAGCACATAACACAAGCAAATCAGTGTAATCGGCCGGCTTATCAAGGACTATCATTGTGCCGCTCATGTGTGGGATTTAAAGGGAATGAGAGGAACTGCTTTGTTTGGCGGGGAATCAAATTGGTGGTGTCGACACCCACAATGCCTCAGACCACTTGGTTTGTACCGGTCTGTGAAAATACTGAAGTCTAATCCACCTCCACACTTCGCACTAGACTTGTGTTGACCCCCAAGTGCTACCCAGAGGCCATCTCACAAAGAGAAGCCTTGAAAGGCATCTTGTAAACATGCAATAGTGATTAAATGTAATGTAAGTTTTTACCAATAAGCAAGTTCATTAGAAAACTAGAACAGTGACCATTAGAAAATATTTACCGTAATTTCCGGACTACAAGCCGCTACTTTTGTTACATGCTTTCAACCTTGTGGCTTATTTAATGATGCGGCCTATTTAAAGCTTTTTCCAACAGCCGCCAGGGAGCGCTCGAGCAGAAAAGATAACAGTGAAACGCTATCACGTGTCACAGTGAAAACAACCGGATATGAGAGGGCGCATTTCACCTGTGTTTTGAGCTAGACTGCAATCCGAAAGCTGTGTGGCTGGGTCTATGACAGACTTGACCAAACACAAAATAATTATTATGAAGGCTTTATTAGCGACTGAACATAGAAAATGTACAGCATTAATAAAATAAAAGACTGAGATATGTCAAATGGGACTAATAAATAGAAAAGTATAGAAAAGTTGACAACAGTAGTGGCTTGTGAGCACTTTCCGGCATGTTGTATATGCCCGAAACAGGCAGAAAACAACTAATCTCCCCTGCTTCACGGCTGTTCACACGGACCACCATGCGACACTGTTCAAACTCCCAAATGACGATATTTTACTCTTACCAACAGCCGGGTTACAATGCCGATTGCAGATACATCAGGTCTGAATAAGCACAGCTCAGCATTCGTCTCACCACTTCGTGGCCCAAGTCTCACGAGATTTCCCACGAGATTATTCCACGCTCCTTTTAATGTGACAGTGCTCCTTTCATTAAATGAGGCAGAATTCACTACAACAGTCATAGTATTGTTCACCTGGTTACATATGGCAAAAGAAAATCTCCCGAAAGACATTGTCGTGAAAATTGACATGAAAGTGCAGATGGTAGAAAGCCTAATGAAGGAATCGTTGACCGAGTGTTACGGCAAGCGAGGATTTTTTTCATTTTAAAACAAAGCATTACTTGACAGGGAATGGTTCCCTCTTTTTTTTAAACCAACCGTGTGACTGCTGAAAGTTAAAGAAAAGTTAAGGTATGTTATTAAACATTGAAACCTCTTTCTGTGTACCGTCTTTCTTTGCAAATATCTCATGTTACAATATGGGCGCCTGCGGCTTATAGACAAGCGCGGCTTGTGTGTGTACAAAATGTTTTTTCCTTTAAAAATGTAGTGGGTGCGGCTTATAGTCAGGTGCACTCTATAGTCCGGAAATTACAGTAGTTAACTCCACTTGCATTAAGAGTAAATATGTATGTCGTGGACAAAATTTGTGTTCAGCATTGTGCATTCCAAAATGTAAAATAAAGTAACTGGCAAAAAATTAATAAATTAACAGTGGTGAACGCATACCATCAGACACTGGACAAAAAAAAAAAAAAAAAACATTTGCCATGCGTCAAGTCTAGTCTAGTCTAGTGCTCTACAGTATACAGTCCAGTGTAGAGACACCACGGTTACATTGCAGGTCAATTCCGATTCAATGACGAGGTGTTTTATTTGTTGTTTTTTTTTTTTGTTTTGTTTTGCTTTTTTTGTGCACGTGTGTCACATTGAATTTGCATTTGCTTTTCTAATGTGAACAAGTACATAAAAAGATACGATTTAAACTATGACATAAACAACTCAACAACAATGGTGAGTGCAACCCACAGCAGCCATCCGGTAAAGAAGCATACTCTTGAGGCATGAGTTTATTAAAAACACATATTTCATACTATTTAATATGATGTTAAAAGGGTAATTCAAAGGCCATCCGATTCCAAAACGAAATGTCATAATTACAGTTAAACTGCCAGGGTCATTGCGTTTGTTTGTGTGAAATATCAGGGTCTAATGCGATGGTTACGCTATTGAATTATTCGACTCATCATGGATTATTGACTTTTAGGCTCCCGACACACTGTATGGCGAGATGCCCAATTCCGATTTTTTTGTTAAACACAATGCTGGCGAGAGGGGCTTGCTTGTCAGTTAATACACAAGTTGTGACTGTGAGAGCAGAAGATTACTGTACAAAATAGACAAACAAAATGAGATGGCACGGAGAAGGTCTCGTGAGGATGATTCATTGTACCATTCTTACAGGCATACAGAGTTGAAAGTTAAATACACGTCTTAGGCTGAATGAAAGCAGTCTGAGTTAATTACTTTGGATTTAGCCCCTCTAACGTCACAGTGACATCTCTGAGAACCTCATCAAGGCTTGTCACGAGAAATTACAGCTCCATCGGAAGAGATATGACAGCGACATTAAGCATCTGAACATATTCAAATCGATTTTCTATGTTACATTTAAATCGGTTGCCACATGCACAATTTGGATCACATCTTGAGAGAAATTGTTTTGACATTACACCCTTGAACATGAACGTAAATATCATTTAAATAAGTCACAGGTGGATGAAGATTTATTTTATCATGTCTGCCCATTCCAAAGTACATAAATACGGTATTTGTCACGGTTGATCTGTTTGGGACGAACAGGTGGCTCTGTAAGGCTCCTCCTACAGCGGCACACCTGCTGGCCATCACGTCATTAGTGGGTTTTCTGTTAAAAGGACTCCCGAGCCGACCACTCGGGATCAGGTCAGTGTTTCTGTTGCCGAGTCTGTTGGTAAGTGTTTGTGCCTTACTGCCATGGTTTTTTTGTTTGTATCGGTTTGACCTTGTTTTTGCGTCTGCCATGGGTTTTTGTTTGTTACTTTGGATTCTTGTTGTTTTCAGAACTTTGTTCTGGATTTAGTTTTATCAGTGTTTTGTTAATACGGTGTGTTAAGTTCACTTTGCTCCTCCCTCCTGCCTGCTTTTTGGGTCCTCCACCACTACTGTGCGTGACAGTACTTAGGGAACAAAAGAAAAAGCACTTCACAAAAAGTACACTCCAAAAATGCAAAATGTAGGTTATTATTAAAAAATACATCCCCTTTCACATGTGCTAAAGGAGAGCACAAATACCATATAAAAAAGGAGAAGATCAGCACAGTTGTCCATATGTTAGTGTGATCTGCCAACTGTTTACAGAATGTGAAAGGAAAATGTGCACTGATATAATGAGTCCGAATCCTGAGAAAGTGAATGTTGAGGATACTTTTTGGATTTGTCCTGAAAATATGTGGAACATTGGTAAACTTGGTGCATAATTATCCGGTTTTGAGCAGATGGTGACTGTTGAAGAGAGTTAATGATGCTGCTATGTAAGAAGTTGATGGATGATTGGTAGCCACTAATGCAGGATAGAGTGGGGAGATTTTAGTATTACTCGGTGTTTAATTATAGGAATCATTTAACTGCATCATGAAGTGCATCTTACGGGTGTTCAGAAGGATCTGTGGTGACTGAAATAAAATGTGCTTTAGGGTTTGTTGTTTTCATGGAATTTGATTTCACAGTATTACCGATGAGCCTGTTTGGCAAACACAAGCGTGCACCAACGCTGTGGTAAAGAAAGTGAAAGAGCACCACCTAATGGAGTAGCACTGCAACAGCAGATTTATTTTCAAAGGAAGAAAACGGCAACTCCAACAAACAATTACGTTGCAGTTCACTTCGAAATGCAATTATACGTCAACAGTTATTTTAGTGTCCTTGAGCGTTTATAAATAAAATGTATTATTATTTTTACAACCGTTATTTGTAACTCCTACATTTACAAGAGGGACTCTTCAGTCTCTAATAGCACTAT